TCCATATGTATAGCTAAAGGCTACATAACAAGAAACAATGCCAGATAGGAGGTATCTTCTTTTGAGTTCTTGGCCAGGGTGGCCCAACAGACTCCCAGATAGTAACCCAGCATAAAACTGGGAAAATGAACAGCAGACCCCAATCTTATCTAAAGGAATATTGACAATTGATTGCTGCTAGATAGCTGACCTTCCTAAAACAAAGACCTCTAGATAGGCTGACTAGACTCACCGGATGGACAAGTACTGGGGAATGGCTGGGGTGCTGACAACACAGCAGACAGTAGCAGGGATGACAGAGTATAAGGGCTCTGGTGGGGAGATGGAGGCTATGGGAAGGTGCCATCTGGGAAGCAGATATATAGATGAATAAGATTGTTTGGGATATTCTGTGTGATATACACACACACACACACAAAACCCAACAAATCAAAAAAAAAGAGTTATATTTGAGGAGGAGGCATAAAAATTTACTTCATGTTAATTCATAGAGGTGATAAACATTACCATTGAAATCTACCTGATGACATATCCATACACAGGTGCCAAGGATCCAAGTGCAACCAACCATGACTAGTAATAATCAGATACATACAGATTAGAGATACATGCACCACATCTAAGTGTTACTAAAGGTTAAAAACTCATTCAATTTTTTGTCTTACAGAGTTTATACTGAGTTCAATATTGTATAACTGTATTAATTCAACTGTGAACCTAAAAATTTTATAGGCACTTTTGAAGAGATGTATCTTTGCTCTGGAAATTGTTATTGAGTATGTTAAAGCTGTAATGAAATGATTCTTCTAAAATATAAAAAAACCCTGTAAAAATAAAAGTAAAAAAAAAGAAAAGAAATTCAGATTAGAGTCACTGCTTTCTCTTCAGTTGGTTGACATTTTTAAATAGTTTTTTTTTAGTTCTTTTGTTGGGTATGCAAGGACATCTTATTGTAGTTTTAATGTGCATTTTCTCAACAGTTAATAATGCCTAGTATCTTTTTTTGCAATGTTTTATTGGTACTTCTTTTATGAAATGCCTATTCAAGTCTTCCCCTTTCTAACTGATTTACGGGATTTATTCTGGGAGACTCCTTTGTCAGCTATGTGCAGTTCACACATTTTCCCTCTTATGACTTGCCTTTTAACTCTTTTTTTTTTCTTTTTCCCATCTTTTTTTAAATTATGTATTTAATAACCACATGATTAGAAGAAGCATTTCATTACAGCTTTAACATATTCAATAATAATTTCCAGAGCAAAGATGCATCTCTTTCAAAAGTGGCTGTGAACTTTCAGGTTCACAGTTGAATTAATACAGTAAATTTTTATGCTTCTTCCTCAACTATAACTCATTTTTTAAAAATTTGTTGATGTTTTTGTGTGTATATCATATAGAACATCCCAAACAGTCTTATTCCTCAATATACCTAACTTCCCAAATGGCACCCTCCCATAGCCTCGCCACCACCCCACTGAAGCCCGATTACTCTGTCATCCCTGTTACTGTCCACTGTGTTGTCAACACCCCAGCCGTTTGTTCCCCAGTGCTTGTCCATCTGCTGAATCTGGTCTGCCTATCTAGAGTGCCTTGTTTTAGGAAGATCAGTTGTTCCTCATCTAGCAGCAATCAGTTGTCAATATTCCTTTAGATAAGATTGGGGTCTGCTGTTCATTCTCCCAGTTCTATGCTGGGTTACTGTCTGGGAGTCTCTTGGGCCACGCTGGTCAACAACTCAAATGAAGGTATCTCCTGTCTGGCATTGTTTCTTGTTATGTAGCCTTTAGCTATACACATGAACTCTTAAAGTTATATTGACCCCTTTAATCTTTGGTTATACTTTCCTTTTGGATGTTTAAGACCCTACAGTTGGCCCAGATAAACCAATTTATTTTTACTTTTACTTTTTTTTTGTCTTTTTGAGACAGGTTCTCCCTATAGCCCCAGCTGTCCTGAAACTCACTAAGTAGACCAGGCTGGCCTTGAACTCACAAATATCTACCTGCCTCTGCCTCCCAAGGGCTGGGATTAAAGGCGTGTGCCACCATGCCCAGCTTATTTTCACTCTTAAGGTCGTTTGGGGATCTGTTCCTCAGGGGTCACATGGGCTTTGGAGGAGCCCCTGGCTCTTTCTTTCCATCTATGTGACGATAAGTTAAAGGTCCTGCTCAACCATGGCTGACTTTGCTTGGAAGCATGGAGGAAATGTTTTCTCTGTGTTGACCCTCCTCTTTGTAGACTAGACACTGGTTCAAGTCCCATTTGATGGGGTCTCAATGGCCTCCTTGATCAAGAGGACAGGTGACTCACTGCAGTTACAGGAAAATTTGAGATGCTCATAGTCCCCTGGAACTTAGTCAACCTAGGAGGGCAAGGAGCAAAAACTGTCCTTTATGTCCCTCTGACCAAATTAGTATAGGCCTCAAAGTATGTCTGTTAAACATCCAAGAAGGTTAGTTCCACCAGTCTGGTACTTTTAATTACCATGTGTCATGTAGATAACGCTTGGGAAAAGACCAAATGTTCTCAGATAAACCTTGCCTAGAAATGTATTATATTCCTTGAGCTAGTTGTATGTGTAATTTGTCAGTAGGTTTGATTAATATGGTTCCCTCTGGTTTTTTTTTTTTTTATCTCTCGCATTGTCTAACCCTTCCACCATGGTTTCCCCATTTAAAGTGCCCCCATTTTCCACATTTCTCCCTTAATAATACCCTTCTCCTATGGTCCCACCTCTCTTGAGCTTCTCCTTTCCCTTTATCCCCTAGGTTCTTTGTGTAACCTTCCCTCCCCACTCCCCTTAAAATAACCCCATTTTTATCCATATCTCCCTTATTAATGCCTGTTTCCTACTGTTCTTCTCTTTCAGATTCTTTCTTTTCCTTTACCTCCCTGGTTCCTTTTCATTATCCTGGTTCCTGTAGTTATGTCTGGATACATACTTACTTATCAGGATTTGGTGCTAGGATCCACATATGAGGGAGAACATATGTCGATTTTTTTTCTGAGATTGTGTTACTTCACTTAGTATAATAGTTTCTAGTTCCATCCATTTACCTGCAAATTTCATGATTTTACCTTTCTTTAGTAGCAAAATATCTGTTGTAGGTATTGGCTCCCTCCTCCCGCCCCTTTCCCCACAAGCCGATATGCCCTCAGAGCTTTCTGGTATTGTATCTTAGGGAGGAGTCCTTTCTACTATGGCTCTAGCCCCAAATGAGCTCCCAGATTTCCCTTCCAGCAGGCAAGCATGCCTGGATGTATTCTCTGACTCCTTGGGGCCTTGGTTGTCCCCCCCACCGTCCGTTTCAGATCCCTGCTGCCCAAGTATCACTTGCCTTGTTTGGAGGGAAGGTGTCTGGGGCAGTTGCTGACCCTGTTGCTGGCTTCTTCATCAACAAAAGCAGGAGGACAGGGTCTGGACGGCTGATGCCCTGGTGAGCAGTCCCTTGGTGCTTAGGCCCCCACCTTTGGTCCTGTGTCACTGTCAGAGTCCGTTTCTTAGTGGTCACCCTATGGATGGTTAGAGATAAGCCTAACAGTATGGGTGGTGAGCTGGTGTCCAGACTATGAGTCTTGAAGTAGTTTAGACACATCCTTGGGGACTGTTTGTCACCGATCAGCTGGCTCAGGGCTGGACAAGCTTCTAGGACTCCCAAGTCTGGCTGTGGCTCAGTGTGGAGAGGCTGGACCAGCATGTCTCAGAGGAAATGCAACCTGCTTGTTGCTTGTGCTCCAGAGTCCTTTGCCTTATTTTTTGCTGCTGCTGAAGATTAAACTTGGGGCCTTCTATATGCTAGTCAAATACTCTTACCATGAGCCCAACATGATGGGGTAAGCCTTTAGTTCCAACACTTGGGAAGTTGAGGCAGAGGCAGGCGAATCTCTGTGAGTTCAAGGCCAGCCTGGTCTACATAGTGAGTTCTAGGACAGCTGGGGCTACAGGGAGACCCTGTCTCAAAACAAAATAACAAAAACACTCATCACTAAGTGACATTTCCAGGTCTCTAGTTCCTAAATACAGGGAATGGTACCACCAAGTGCCCTGCCCAGAGTCCCAATGGTGATTGCTCCTCTTTCCACCACTCTTTCTTCTCCCTGTCTCCATGGCTCCCAAACTGACAGCCCAGCCCAAGGTTCTCAAGGGCAGAGAAGGGGTGAGGTTACTCCCAGCTGTGCCCTTGGTGTCCCGATGCCTGGGTGCTACAGGTGTTGTACCTCTGTCTGTGCTTCTGCAGGGCACTGGGCTGCATGCCTTTAATCGCCCTGGCCTACTTCTTTCTGTGGTTCCTGCCCCCATTCACCAGCCTGCGTGGCCTCTGGTATACCACCTTCTACTGCCTGTTCCAAGCCCTGGCTACGGTAAGCACATAGCTTCCTTTGATAGGCCTGGTACTTATGAGTCCCACTGCCACCTCTGGTCATTACTAGGGATTACAGGTGTTGTGGTACCTAGACTCACTGTCGCAACCTGCCCATCAATGCCTGGAAACCTGCTGTTAACTGATGGCCCTGTTCAGGGCTCCTGCTTCTGGGACCCTAACTCTGAGCTTCAGGTGACCAGTAGAGGACGTGCTAGTCCGGACCCTTGGGTGCCTGGATGGGACAGGATGGCTGGCAATCTTTGCATGGCAAAATGGGGGGATCACTCAGTGCTTGACAGTATTGGTGGTAGAGGCTGTCCTAACCTCTGCAGGGCTACCCCAGTTCTTCCAGGTGCCCTACACAGCTCTCACCATGATCCTCACCCCCAGCCCCAGGGAACGAGATTCTGCCACAGCGTACAGTGAGTACAATCCTGGGGCTGGGTGGAAGCTGCTGTCCTTGGGATCCTGCAGCTTACCCTGCCAACTTGTATATGCTCTGTCTCTAGGGATGACCATGGAGATGGCAGGAACACTGATGGGAGCCACCGTCCATGGGCTCATCGTGTCTGGTGCCCACACATCCCAGCAGTGTGAGGATGCTGTGCTCCTCACAAGCAATACTGTCTCCCCAGATGCAGTGAGTGCCTGAGGTGGCCAGGACCCCCTCTTCAGGTTGCCTCCTTCCTCCAGGGCTGCTCCTCCATCTTTCATCTTCTTGGGAGTGGGGATCTCACTATACACTCATCCCTTCTGTGCTTCTCTAGCTGAACACACAAACTCCAAGTCCCTGAAGGTTCTCCACTAAGCCTGTCCCCTGGTTCTTTCCCAACATATAACAGATCTGCAAGCCCTCTTTGAGGGGGGTGTGTGTGGGGGGATGTATATTCCAAAGAAGGGACAGGATGAGGACGTCACAAGACCACCAGGAGCAGAAAGAAGGGCAGAGTCTTGGAGTGCAAAAAGCCCCCTATGCCCAGAAGACGTGCCCCACCCATCAGAAGTGGTGAAAGGCAAAGGGGAAACAGAAGATTCCCCTATTCCTCCTTCAGCAATTATGGAATACACATCTTTAGCAAGTTTGCCATCCTTCCCTTAAACAATGGCATTATCTTGCAGAGCACTAGGAATCGTCTTATTCCCCACCCCTCATTCTACCAAACCCTGTTTTTCAGACCAAAATTCACCTAGAATTTACTTAACTACCTGCATTGCCCTACCATACTCTAGCCATCCCATCATCCTCCCCACCTGACTCCCAGCTCCCAATCAGCCTCGTACACAGCATCCTGACCTCCACCATTCTTCAGCATAGCCAAGGACTGGGGGACACTGCCAAGGATTTTAAACATGGGTTGCCCTCTCCTTCAGGCCACCCCTCCCCTGGACTGGCTTTGGGCCTTTTCTTTGTGTTCTCTGAATCCTTCCATGCTGGCATTTTTTGTTTGCTGGCCTTTAAATCACTGTTTCAGGTTTACAGAAAGGTATAAAGCTGTGCTTGTTGAAGTGGGGTCCCTGTTAGAAAGGCCAATTCTTGGGCCCACTCCAGACCTACTGATACATAAAGGGTCAGCAGAAAAGCATGTGTGTGGCAGGGCCACTCAGGGCCCTTAGATTCAACTCTCTGAGTGACCCAGAGGAGTAGAACCCAGCACCATTGGGCTTGAGATGTGTGCCCTTCCACAGTATTGAAAGTTGCCCTGCCTACCTCCGTGGGTTGGAGACATTACCCCCAGTCCAGTTCTTTCCTGTCCTGTAGGCTCGTCTCTATTCCATTGCGGCCGCTGTGGTTGCTGTGACTTACCCTGTGTGTGGGAGTTTACTGTGCCTAGGAGTGAAGGAGCAGCCAGGTATGGAGGTGCAGTGAGGGCATGAAAGGCAGAAGTCAGGAGCTGGACTCCTCTTGGGGGTGAGTTTTTGAACTCTGCCAAGCCAGTTACCAGCTTCCTATTTTATAGACCCCTCTGTCCCAGCCTCAGGCCAAGGCCTGAGCTTCCTGACTGGTCTGGCTGTCACTACCCGGCACCCGCCCTACCTGAATCTGGTTGTCTCCTTCCTGTTCATCTCAGCTGCTGTTCAGGTATATCTGACCAGGTGATCCCCATTTGATTTGCTGTGACCATACTTGTGAACAAGTGTTTGGAACAAGGCCTTACATAGCCCAGGCTGGCCCTGAACTTGTTTTGTAGCTGATTCTGGCCTTCAGCTTCTGATCCTGCTGCCTGCAATACCCAAGTGCTGGGACTCCAGGCATGCACCACAGTGACCAGCACAGGTTTGAATTTTACAGGGGATGGCACATGGTTGAAAGAGGCTAGTGCTGGGAGGAGAGACCGGAGTAGGGCTTGGAGATCAGGGCTCTTAGGAAGTTGAAGCCATCTGGGATGACATCCTCTCATATTAACTGAAATTTAGTAAAATCCACCTGATCTCCTTAGCTATGCAAAGGGTGATGGTGCACTAGGAACTGTGCTCCTATCTATGTTGGGAATAATCCTTTGAGTTCAAGGACAAAGGAGAAGCCAGACTCAAGACCCTATCCTTGCCCATGGCTTTTGCATTCCCACCATTTCCTGCACATGACCACTTCCTGTCCTTCCTGTCTACCGCCTCAGGTGGAGCAGAGCTACCTGGTCCTGTTTTGTACACATGCCTCCCGGTTACATGACCATGTCCAGAGCCTGGTGCTAACCATCCTGGTAAGGGAACTTAGGAAGTGGAGGCTGGGTCCCTTGGGAACCAGAGTTGGGGACCTATGTGGCCAGAGTTCTAGTGGTCAAATTCTGAATTCTGCTTTGGTTTCATTTCAGCAGAGGGTAGAGCTAGGGCCTGGGTCAAAGTTAATAGCCACTGGTTCAAACCAGAAGGACATGATCCTGCAAAGCACTGGGAGTCCTTTTATCCCCCGCCCCACCCCCCAATTCTACCAAATCATGTTTTTCAGACCAAAATTCACCTAGAATTTATTCAACTACCTGCATCATCCTGAGTGTCCCACCTAAAATAAAAGCAAGGGCTTAGAGATCGTGGGAGGTGAGGGTTGCAGGGTCCTCATATGATGATGCTGTCTGTCCATAGGTCTCAGCTGTGCTGAGCACCCCACTGTGGGAGTGGGTTCTCCAGAGATTTGGGAAGAGGACATCAGCATTTGGGATCTGTGTGAGTGAGGCAGGAAGCAAAGCCTGAGGGTGGCTGAGGAGGTAACCATGGAGCCTGAGCCTCCTGAGGCTGGCACGACTGGACCTGTGTTCCCTTGTGTCTGCTGAGCCTGATACAGGACCAGGTGCAGGGCGTGTCATTAACAATGAGGGGTGAGCCTGCCAATGAAACAGCAAGCCAGGGAACTGGTGGAGGACCATCTCAAGGCTCTGTCTCCCCAGGTGATGGTGCCTTTTTCAATCTTGCTGGCTGCTGTGCCCTCTGCACCCGTGGCCTATGTTGTGGCCTTTGTCTCTGGAGTGAGCATTGCTGTGTCCCTGCTGCTACCCTGGTAGGCTGGATGAGGGGAAAAGGGGATGGGAGATGACATGGGTCTTCCTCCACACAGCCTGCTGTCCTATGTCCCACGTGCCCAGCCTGTGTGGTGCCACAAGTTTCTTCCTTGAAGCTTTCTTACAAGTGCCCCAACAACAGGAATGGTGGGGGACATAGACATGTTGCTGGCTAGCTGTGGGCGTGTCCTGGGCAACAAAGACTCTGACTTAAGTCTCTGGGTCCTGAGGACTCACAGGCTGGCTGTTGACTTTCAAGGGGAAAAAAGATGGCTAACTCCAGGCACCTGTCCCCAGGTCTATGCTACCAGATGTGGTGGATGACTTCCAGCGGCAGCACCGGCATGGCCCAGGAGTGGAGACCATCTTCTACTCATCCTATGTCTTCTTCACCAAGCTTTCAGGCGCAGGCGCCTTGGGCATCTCCACCCTCAGTCTGGAGTTAGTCCCAGGATTGGGATATAGCAGAGGCACCAGGACCAGTGGGGTGGGACGTGAAAGGAAGAGCCCCCACCCTGCCAGCTAGATAGAGGACATCCATAAGTTTGGGGCACATGCTGGACTCTATGGAGTATGGGGAACACCCTCCCCAGGTTTTCCTGCACACCTGCCTGAGGGGCCTTTCTTGGGGGCTGTGTCCCTTCAGAAGCCCCAGCTCTCTGTGTTCTCAGCTCTCTGAACTCCTCCTTGGTTCCCTTCAGATCCCTCCGTAATTAGGCTGATCGAACCAGGAAATGAATTCAAGTTTCAGGAGGGTGGGGGTGGCATGTCTGTGAGTCCTGCACCCAAGGAGCCATGCTCAGCAGTGCCGATTGGATGAATGGGATGGTGTTTCTGCAGGTTCGCAGGGTATGAAGCAGGAGCCTGCCAGCAGACAGAGGAGGTGGTGGTCACTCTCAAAGTCCTCATCGGTGCTGTGCCCACCTGCATGATCCTTATTGGTCTGTGCATCCTCATAGCTGGGCCCGCTCCCAAGATGCCAAGCCAGGACACCTCCTGCCAGCTAAGCCTTCGGAGGTGGGCAGTATGTGTATACAGGGGTATACATGGGCAGAGTGACCAGTCCAAGGGAGACACACACACACACACACACACACACACACACACACACACACACACACACACACACACTGATGCCTAACAACTAATACCAGACTTACAGGTGACAGTATTTGCTCCTGGATTTTCTTCTATTGTCTAGTCTTCCTTCTCAGTCTTCTTTCTTGGACTGCCTGGTGGCTGGGGGTATGTGAGGGCTCCCTATGTCTCCCCGGGTGCCCCATCTATTTGTGTAACCTAGAGCACCTAGCACTACTGGTAACTCAAGTTACCCATACCCTGTACTTCCTTCAAGTGCATCACTCTCATTGCACATCTGCACTTGCTGTCCCACAAGCATGTTAGGCTCAGGAAGACCTAAACTTAGCTCACCTTCTCCTCCTGGGCTTCTCTTTCTATGTCCCCATCTCACAGAGTAGCACCATCATCTGCCCTGGTGTGAAAGCCTAGGAGCCTCCTGTACTTCCCGCCATGGCTGCTGAGTGGCTCTCTGAACTTGTCCTTCCCCCTCCCACCAATCCCATGTCAGGGGAAGATCTATGCATTGCTTGGCTTTCCCAGGACAGTGTAGGCATCTTGCAAGCCGGGGATATAGTTTCTTGATGTTTATATCCCAGGAGCCCAGCACTGAGACCAAGGCCAAGTAGATACTTAGGGGATGCATACTGCCACATCAACCCATCTGGCCCACTAGACCAGATGAACACAGATGTTCCTACTTACAAATACACAAGCACATGTCCATCTATAAGCAGGACCACACAAGGCAGCAGGAAGTGGCATGAGTAGCCCCTCACTTCTCACCTCAGACTTCAGCAAAAGTGACACAGAGATCATGTTCTCTCCTGTGGCAATGCCTAGAAGATAGGGCTTTGCTTGATGGATGTGGAGGAACTGGCTTGTAGCTTCAATGGGGCCATGAGTGGAGTGGCTGGCAAGGCAAGAACAGCCACTGAAACTTCTGTGGTGGCTCTGTGCCTGCAGAGACACTCACCTCACTTCCTTGGCTTCTTCCCTTCCCACAGGAGGACCAGCTACCTTGCCTGAGGGGACTTCTGAGAGTGGAAAGCCAAAGCCTGTACTTTCTGGAACTCCTTCTCCTTCGCCCTTGAGCACATACCTAGCAGCTTAGCACACATTTTCCATGTGGGATGGAGACTTCAATGACATCTCCTGAAGGGGCTGGCCAGGGCCCCAGGAACCCTACCTGACATCTCTTGCCCATTCCCTACCAGCCCTCTCAGGCTTATACCCCTGACTACACCGCCACCTTCAGGACGTCTTGGACATGGAGAACATCTGATTGCAACTATTTCTAGACACAGGAAGTCCCTGCACACCCTGGCCTACAGACTTCCTTTGTTTAGATGGCAAAGCTCCCCACACAGGACAACAGACAGACTTGGTTTGTCCTCTCTGCAGTAGACACCTGCTCAAAGTACAGAGGCCAAGATACTGTATGAACAGGCATACTGAGACAGATGACATCTGGGAACAGCAGTAAGGAGGAGACTGAGCAGGCCTAGCCTAGTGTACAGGTATCTCTCCAGTACTTTCTTCTGCTCATCTGCGTTGATGACAATGCTCCATCAGTAACAGAGACTGACACTGAGCCACCAGGGGTCAATTTTTTTTTCTTTTTTGAGGCAGGGTCTCTCTGTAGCCCCAGCTAGCCTGGAACTCACTATGTAGACCAGCTGGGCTTGAACTCACAGAGATCCACCTGCCTCTGCCTCCTAAGTGCTGGATTAAAGATGTGTACCACCACACCCATCTGAGGCCAATCATTTTTACAAACAAATGCAAATATATTTTTCTGAAATTCTTATAATAGCATATGACAGGAACTATAGTTTTCTAAAGGCCATGCCTTAGGAGAAGAAAGATCCACTGAGGTTTTTTTTCTTCAAAAAAAATTTAGCTAGATGTGGTGATACATGCCTGTGATTTCAGCATTCATGAGGTAGACACAGGAGGATCAGTAGTTTAGGGCCAGCCTCAGCTACATATCAAGTTTGAGTCCAGTTTGAGCCACCTGAGATCTTGTCTCAAAAACAAAAGTTTAAAGATTTTATCTTGTATAGAGTAGATAAAATGTGACTGTGGACAGCTTACTATCCCCTGACTAGAGTCCCCTGAGGAGGGGTTTAGGCTGTTCAGTGCTCTTAAGCCTGCCTGTTACCCCAGCCATGTGACCCTGGTGAGCGTTTCCTTAGACCAGGGACACCCTGTCATTCACTGGATAAATGAGTGAATATACGGATCAGCCTCATCCTAAAACAGAACAGCTTTACTTCCTTCTTTGACTTTCTCCTCTTCAAATAATCCGTCTTGTTGCTCTTCCCACCTTTAGCCATTCTGGTCTCTTCCCCTGCCACTCCTTAACCCATTAACTTGGTTTCAGCCTTCACAATTGAAGAGACAGTACAGCCTGACAGGGCTAACTCCAGTATCACAGAAAGGGCGATAGGAGTATGTATGCTGTTTCCATCTTTTACCACAAGTGACTGGTTCACTTATTTGTTGTTTTGTTTTGGTTGAGACAAGGTCTCACTGTAGCCCTGGCTGGCCTTGAACTCACAACAAAGATTCACCTCCCTCTACCTCCCAAGTGCTTAGGATTAAAGGTGTGTGCCACCATGCCTGGCTTTATTTTTTGTTTTTCTCTTGAGACAGGGTCTCTTGTAGCCCATGTTGGCTTCAAACTCACTGTGTAGCTGAGGCTAGTCTTGAACTCCTGATCCTTCTGCCTCTACCTCCCAAGTGTTAGGATTATAGGTATGGATCATCACACCTGGCTAACTTGTTTAACAAATCTGAGCCTCAGTTTAGTTCTTTAGAGACAGGACCTCACTATGTTGCCCAAGCTGGCTTAGCTCCTGGGCTCAAGCAGTCCTTCTCCCTCAGCTTCCTGAATAGATGGCCATTCCTTGTTTGAACAAATATGTTATGTACACATCAGGATGGATATGTCAATCAAATGAATAACACTGACCAAGTAGCAAACTGTAATGGTTAATATTGTCCACTTGACCAGGATCTAAAATCACCCAGGAGAAAACCTCTGGTATACCTATGAGGAACTATCTTGATTCGGTTAATTGAGGTGGGAAGACGTGGGCTGGGGTTCTAAACTGGAGAAATGTAAGAAAGCAAGTTGAACACCAGTATTCATCTTCCTCTGCTTCCCGACTGTGGATGCATTGTGACCAGGTGCCGCAAGCTCAGGCAGCCGAGACTTCTCACCATGATGGACTATACCCTGGAACTGTCAAACAAAATAAACCCTTCCTTTCTTAAGTGGCTTTTGTCAGGGTATTTTATCACAGCAAGTAACTAATACACCGAGGAAACCCTCAATGCTAGTTAACTAACGCTGACCACTCCATTTCAAACTCTGTCCTCCCCTGGCTTGCTCTTCTCCATCTCTGCTTACCATTTGCTGCCCTCCCCTTTGCTTCCTTCTCTTTTGATACTACTTAATCTTCTCGGGCTTCCCAAGGCAGTATGATCAAATCCTCCCCGCAAACGGCACTGTAGTCTCCACTTCTAAACCAGGGCTCTCTGTGGAGCTTCTGATCCCCAGATCCCACTGCCTCTCTGAGCATTCTTGAGGCAATCCCAATACCATGCATCCAAACAGAACTCATCACCTTCTCAAAGAAGAAATGTTTGATAGAAAACTAAGATGTGTTCATGATCAAAGCAAGCAGCAAACCGAAAACAAAAGGAAATATTTCTCCCCAAGGAAAATATCTACCAATATCCTACAGCAAATATCATTCATTTTTGTGTGGGAGACAAGACTTCCCTATGTAGCCCAAGGTGGCCTCAAACTCGCCAAGCATTGGCCTAGCCTACCAAATGCTGGGATTATAGACTTGTGCCCAGCTTGACAAAGTTTTTTTTTCCTGGCTGGGTTTAACCTAAGGCCTGGAGCATGTTAGGCAACCATTCTAGCACTGAACCATATCCACAGTCTAACATTCTTTATAGAAATAGAAAATAAAAACAACTATCTTCACACTCATATGGAACCATGGAAAAACTTGAATTGTCTTAAGCAAAAAAATAATAATACCTGACCTCAAATTACACTTAAAAGCAATACTAAGCAGCATAAAAGTAACAAAGCCATTCCTAGCTAAAAGATCACAGAAAGAATTCTCAACTACTTGCGTAAGGAAGTATTTGCAAAAATATTCAAAGCAATATGGCTTATAATTTCAGAACAAACCCAGGAAACAACCAAATGTCCAGCCAGCAGTGTTGGCAAATTGTGCCAACTCACAAGGGTAAAAATAATATAGCATAATAAGGATGGATCTTAGAAATAATACTGAATGAGGGACGTGGCTTGGTGGGTAACTTGCTTGCTATGTAAGCACGAGGGCCTACATTCAGGTCACTGGCACTCCAAGGAAAATGGCTTGGAGACTGGCAGATTCCAGGGGCTTGTTCCTGGTTCAGTGAAGGATGTCTCAAAAACGGTGGAATGATACAGGAAGACATACAATGTTGATCTCTAGCCTTTATGCATGTACACGTGGGCAAGTGCACCTGCACACATAGATGCATAGACCATACATGGGGGGGGGTCGGGGAGGATATAGGGGAGGAAGAAAGGAAGGAAGGAAGGAAGGAAGGAAGGAAGGAAGGAAGGAAGGAAGGAAGGAAGGAAGGAAGGAAGGAAGGAAGGAAGGAAGGAAGGAAGGAAGGAAGGAAGGAAGGAAGGAAGGAAGGAAGGAAGGAAGGAAGGAAGGAAGGAAGGAAGGAAGGAAGGAAGGAAGGAAGGAAGGAAGGAAGGAAGGAAGGAAGGAAGGAAGGAAGGAAGGAAGGAAGGAAGGAAGGAAGGAAGGAAGGAAGGAAGGAAGGATATAGGGGAGGAAGAAAGGAAGGAAGGAAGGAAGGAAGGAAGGAAGGAAGGAAGGAAGGAAGGAAGGAAGGAAGGAAGAACAATGAATAAAAACAAATCAGAGGGGGCTGGAGAGATGGCTCAGGGGTTAAGTGCATTGGCTGCTCTTGCAGAAGACCCAGGTTTGAATCCCAGCACCTACATGGTGGCTAACAACATCTGTAACTCCAGTTCCAGGGGAGCTGACTCCCTCTCCTGGCCTCCAAGGGCACTGCATGATATAGGTGCCCTTACATACATACAGGCATAACACATAGACATAAAATAAATTTTAAAAAGTTAAAAAAATCATTAATGAAGAAGTCAGAAGGCTGGATACATGGCTCAGTCAGTAAAGTACTTTCCTTGTAAGCAGGAGGACTTGAGCTTGATCCACAGAATTCACATTAAAAACAACCAACGACCACCACCTGCCTCTGTCTCCCAAGTGTGGGGATTAAAGGCATGTGCGACCATGCCCTTCCTAAAATATTTTGTAAGATTTATTTTAAGTGCCTCTGTGTGTGTGCCACCTGTGTATGCAGCTGTCTGAAGAGGCCAGAAAGAAAGCATTTGATCCCCTAAAGCTGGAATTATTTTTTTTTTCTTTCTTTTTTTTGTCTTTTTGAGACAGGGTCTCCCTGTAGCCCCAGCTGTCCTGGAACTTACTATGTAGACCAGGCTGGCTTCGAACTCACAAAGATCTGCCTGCCTCTGCCTCCCAAGTGCTGGGATTAAAGGTGTGCACCACCACGCCCAGCCTTAATATTTTATTTTCATGTGTATGAGTGTATTGCCTGCATGTGTGTAAGTGCACCTGTGTTGAGCAATGCCCAAGGAAGTCAGAAGAGGGCATTGGATACTCCAGAGATGGAGTAACAGATGGTCATTAGCCACCATGTGGGTGCTGGGAATCAAACCTGGGTCCTCTGCAAGAGCAGCCAGTGCTCTTAACCGCTGAGCCACCTTTCCAGCCCCTGAAGCTGGATTTATATAGGCAGTTAGCTGCCCGACATGGGTGCTAGGAACCAAACTCAGGTCCTCTGGAAGAGCAATAAGCACTCTTAACTACTGAACCATCCTTCCAGCCCCACTAAATATACATTTTTTTCCTGGTCTTTTTAAGACAGGGTCTCCCTGTAGCTCCAGCTGGCCTGGAACTCATTATGTAGACTTGGCTGGCCTTGAACTCACAGAGATCTGCCTGCTTCTGCCTCCACTTCCTAAGTGTTGGGATTAAAGGTGTGTACCACCATGCCTGGCTTCCCACTAAATATTTTTTAATATGACATTAAACAAATTAAAGAATTCAGTGTTTTTCTCCAAAGCCAGCAAATACTGGATTGATTTCTATTGTTCCAATGACTGTACTAACAGTAGAGGCCAAGGAAACATCTGTGTAAGAGTTGTCATGGAATTAGATTTATTATAAAGAAACAATGTACATTCTATGTCCACCAGAGGAAGAAATACAAAGATAATAATTATACACATGTAAAACTCTAGAGAATTTCTCTATACCAGTAATAATCACAAAGAACATTCCATCAAAACATTCACAAGAGCCACAACTGCTATTGTGATTTTACTGAAGACTCATTCAGAGTAGTTTGCCCTGAGAGATGGTGATTATAAAGTCCACCTTGAGGCATTCACATTGCTCTTACCCAAGGGTCCCTTAGTCCCCTTTTTAGATTTCATAATAATAGGGATTTCATCACACCCCAGACACTTCCTCTGCAGATGGAGCCAGGTCTCAGACTACCCTCAGCTACCACTCAGGCTGCTGACCACAGACAAGTGGCTTCCCCTTCCATTATCCCAGCAGTTGTCTAATGCATCTGAACCACAAATTGGGCCTTTGCTTCTTTCCTAGCCCAGCCCCATCTTCATAAACTATAACAGATAGATAGGAGTCCCCAAAGGTACAAAATATTTCCTCTCTGGATAATTTTAAAGGACAGGGTGGGGGGAATATATGTGTTAATGGAGTTTCTATGGCTGACACAATTTATCTGCAGATGTGCTTTGTCTCCCACACCCAATCAATTTGTTGTGCTGCAGTGACTGAAATCTCTGATCATGTCTCAAGGCAGTGAGAAGAGATGTGTCTCTTTATATATTTATATAATGGTTCTTTCCATTATATAAATTGATACCTTATCCCTGTGTGTAAATAAACTGGTGATTTTTAGAACTGTTTTAAACTGTGAAATTTTCATCTTTTTGAAATACTTTCAGATTCTATACTGGTCTCTAAGATGTGAAAAGAGCTAAAAAAACAAAACAAAAAAAAACCAAAACCAAAATTAAAGTGACAAGTTGGGCTGGAGGAATATAGGTCAGTGATGGGCAGAGCACTTGCCTAGCATGTACACAGTGCCAGGTTTGACCCCGCAAAAAAAAAAAAAAAAAGAAAAAAAGAAAAAAAAAAGAAATTAACCAAGAGGACTGAGTACTAGCATGAAAAATTGCCCTGTGCTAGTAACATCAGCACATATTCAGGAGGAGCCCAGAGGGCTCTCATCTCCTGAAATGTTATTTAAAATTTCAGCAATATCTGGACCACTATCAGGCAGAACTGTGTAAGAAAACAAGAGGTTAGGCTTAAATCTGGGGAGGTCAGGCCAACCGCAGAACTTACTTCTGAGCCAGGTACCCTGGCAGCAAGGGTCAGGCTTTTTACTTCCTTTGCACTCCAAGGATTCCTGCTGGTTTGAGGTTTAAATCACAGGGTCCCCAGCAGCTCTCCTTGCCCTCTCTTTTCTTTCTTTTTAAAAAATTATTTATTTTTGTGTGGGTGTGGGTGTGTGGAGGTCAGAGGATAACTTGTGGGAATTGATTCTCTCCTTCTGCCTTGTAGGTCTCAGGATGGAACTCTGGTCCTTACGGGCAAGCACCTTTATCCACTGAGCCATCTCACCACCCCTTACCCTCATCTTTAAGCCAAGAAAAAGACCTATCACAATGTCATGTGAAGTGCTCCTGAGACAGTGTTAACATGGCTCTGGGTTGGGGGTGCAAAGCTTTGGAGAAATCATAAAACACAAAACATGGCAACAGTATTTTCTGTTCTAGGAATTCCATCCTCAGACAAAGCAAGCAGCGCAGTCAGGAATACATATGCCACCACCCTGACAGACTGAGCTCTGCTTCTGTCCCCCAGCAGCACACCTCAGCCAAAGGGAAAGATGGCATAGCAAGTACTCCGCAAACAGTTATCAGGCCACACCATTGAAACTGTTAGAACAACCAGTTGTATCTAAACTCTCGGTGGCAAGATCTCCAAAGACTTCAGGTGGAGGAATAGGGTCCTGGCTGTGAGAAAGAGAGTTCCTAGAGACCTCTGACCTGGGCAGGCTGCCATCTCTCACCACAACTGCCTGAGTGGCTGTGAAAGTTAATGGGATGAAACCTTGGCTGTCAGCAGAGAGAAGGATCCAGTGGGAATCTACAAAGTAAAATAAACACACAAACAATTTAGGCATTTGCAGAATTCTCCAAAGAAGAAGCTAATCTTGGTTGTCTACTTGATACACTTGGGAAGAGGGAAACTCAGTCGGAGACTGCATCCATCAGACAGGCCTGTGGGCATTTCTGTGGGGCACTTTCTTGATTGCTAATTGATGGAGGAGGGTCTAACCCACTGTGGATGGAACTATCCCTGGGTAAGTGGGCCTGGGCTGTAAAAATAGGCTAGCTAAGCATGAGTCAGGAATTGAGCCAATAAGCAGCATTCCTCTGTGGTTTCTGCTTCAATCTCTTTTCCTGGCTTCTCTTGCTGATAAACTATAACTTGTAACATAAACCCTTTCCTCCCTAAGTTGCTTTGGTCATGTTTATTGCAGCAACAGAAAAACAAACTAGACAAAAGAGATAACTGAAAATACGTGAGTTCTCTGTGAGTTCAAGGCCAACCTGAGTTCTAAGCCAGCCCCACTACAGGGAGATCCTGTCTCAAATAAATAATAATGTCTTGTGGCTAGACAAGGTCTAGCGATGTAGCTGCAGTTGGTCTAGTAGCCCAGGATGGCCTCAAACTTGTGATCTTCCTGATTTAGCCTCTTGAGTGCTGGGATTACAGGTGTACACCTCCATATCCAGCTTTTCTTTTTTTAGTGAAATATAGTAGCTGACATTAACCCTCATCATCTAAGACTTTATGGAAAATATGAAGATGAAAGCATGTGGCATTACTTAGGATTAGGTGACATGGCAGGGCAGGAAGGGGATGTCAAAGACTTAGAATCATCTCAAGTGGGTCACTCAGACAAAACTAAAGAACATATATTTTCACTTGGAGCAGAATTCTCACATAGTGCTAGGCATACAAATTTGTATATGACAAAAGGAAAAAAAAAGAAAAAAAAAACTTGCACGTGCATACAGGTTGGTACACATTAAGATGTTCCCTAGTAGCCAGGCATGGTGGCACATGCCTTTAATCCCAGCACTTGGGAGGCAGAGGCAGGCAGATCTTTGTGAATTCGAGGCCAGCCTGGTCTACATAGTGAGTTCCAGGCCAGCTGGGGCTACAAGGAGACACTGTCTTAAAAAGACCAAAAAAAAAAAAAAAAAAAAAAAGACAACTGCAAAGCCATATCATAAAGGTATATGTCAAAACAGAAAATGCTAATCTTACAATGTTAAAGGAAAAAAAAGGAAATGTTTTATGTCTGACATGGCTACTAATGAACAGGGCATCATGCAGTCCCTCACATGCAAGCGCATCCTTCACATCTCTGTTTTCTCTAATTATACTGTCAGCTCCTTTAGGAAATGCTCTGCAGTACTGCCTATGATTCTACATTTATTGCAACAGGCATACATGAGACTGTTACATGATTTTCTTCTGCTGTTATACATAGTCTCCTTTCTACTTTTAAAAAATATGTACATTTTTCCAGTGACGATGTAAGTTCCCTCAGGGAAGGACTCATATTTTCAGTGTGTTATAGTATCTCCAATAGGCCTGGAAATGTAGTAAGCAACTAGTTCTATTATCTGGTGAATCACTGGGTGGTTGGATGGGATCATTTTCATTCTTAACGTTGCAATATAGATCAGTAAGGGTGGTACGAGAGTGTTCTAAATTTCACCTACCATGCAGCATTTCAACGAGACGGAGGCCAAACAACTGCTGAACTGTGCCAAGTTTTAGTTTGCCATTGCAGAGAAGCACGGCTCTTTTTTCAACAGGACCTTCATAACAAGGTTTCTTCAAATAAAAAATAAAAGTTGTTAAACTGATTGTAAATGCAATGCAATTAACATTTCTGAAGAACAAGGTAGAGCCGGTTGTGGTGGCCCACATCTTTAATCCCAGCACTTGGGAGACCAGAGGCAGGCAGATCTCTATGAGATCTACATAGGGAACTCCAGGCCAGCTGGGGCTACAGAGAGACCCTGTCTCAACTAAACAAAACAAAACATGAAACAAAGAACAAGGTAGAGTCAGGCAAGTACTACTGCCTGCAATCTCAGCACAACAGAAACTGAAGCAGAAGGATTGCAGGTTTGAGGTCAGTTTAGGCTACAGACCTTATCTCAAACAAACAAAACAAAATAAAAACAATCCTTTTCTGTTACCACTATCAACTAGAACTCTTGACAGGGTTCTTTTACACAACTAAAAGAATAAAATACAAAACACAACCCCTAATTTATTTTCCCTCTAGCTCTATTCTTACCTCAGGATTAAAACCAACACCAGGAAAAAGAGTAGTTAATATAATCAAAGCATATAACATGCACATATAAAAATGCCACAATGAAACACATTGTTTTGTGTTTCAACAAATTAATATATGTGAAGAAAAAGGAAAAGTGTTATAAGGAAATAATGTGTAACTTTGTTGTTAAAATTGTAACTCTTTTAAGAGCAGCCAGTGTTCTTAATCAATGAGCCATCTTTCCAGTCCCTTTTTTGTTTTGAGATATAGTCCTGGAGGCTTCGAACTGGATATGTAGACCAAGTTGGCCTTGAATTCAGAGATTCACTTGCTTCTGGCTCCAGGGTGTTGGGATTAAAGACATGCCACCATGCATGCCCTATGCCCAGTTTTCTTAAGGTAATCTTTTCTTTTCTCCTTTGAGACATAGTCCCACTCACTATGTAACTAAGTTGGTCAGCTCAGGTAATTCAAACAACAAATTTTACTTTCATTCTGTTTTTTTTTTTTTTTTAATTATTGCTGGGCGTGGTGGTGCACGCCTATAGTCGCAGCACTTGGGAGGCAGAGGCAGGTGGATCTCTGTGAGTTCAAGTCCAGCCTGGTCTACATAGTGAGTTCCAAGACAGCTGGGGCTACAGGGGAGACCCTGCTTCAAAAAAAAAAAATTATTTTTACCTACATGCATGTAAATGTACCCAAGTGTGCAATACCCATGGAGGCCAGAAGAGGGCAGGGATCCCCCGGAACTGGAGTTAGAGATGGCTGTTAGCTACCATGTGGGTGCTAGCAACCAACAGATCCTCTGCAGGGACAGCCTGTGCTCTTAGCCACTGAGCCACCTCTCCAGTTCTATGTTTTGTTTTGTTTATTTTATTTTATGTGTATGAGTGTTTTGCCTACATGTATATAAGCGCACCATATGCATGCAAGGTCTGCAGGGGCTAGAAGAGGGCACTGGATTCCCTAGAAATGGAGTTAAACACACTTGTCAGCCACCATGTGGGTTTTGGAAACCCAACCTGGGTCCTCTGCAAGAGCAGTCAGTGCCTTTAACTGTTGAGTCATCTTTTCAGCCCCCTTTTTGTTTTTGAGACAGGATCTCTTATAGTCCAAGTCTGGTCTAGAACTCACTATGTAGCTAAGGATGACCTTGAACTCCTGATCTTCCTGCTTCTACCTCCCAAGTGCTTGGATTACAACTGTGTGCCACCATGCCCAATGTATAACTGCATTTTGACTATGACCAGTCACATGAAGTAAGGTATGGAATTTTCCACATAAATGGCAAAGAGTTTTGAAATTTAGAGCATTTCAGATTTCAGATATTTGGATTGGGGATCCTCAGTATATTTAGTCTTTCTAGATGAAGAATTATTTTTTTATTATTTTAATATTTACTTGTACACATGTCTGAGTGCATGTATGTGTACCACCTGCATGCAGGAGCCTGTAGAGATCAGAAGGAAGGTGTTGGATCCCCTAGAACTGGAGTTACAAGTGGTTGTGAGGTGCTGGGACTGAACCCAGGTCCTCTGGGAGAGCAGTAAGCACTCTGAGCCACTGAGCCATCTCTCTAGCCCCTACTATTTTTTAAAGATTTTTATTATTTGGGGGGTGCTGGAGAGATGGCTCAGCAGTTAAGAGCACTGATTGCTTTTGCAGGGGACCGAGGTTCAATTCCTGTGGTGGCTGACAACTATATATAACTCCAGTTCCAGGGGATCTGATCTCCTCAGGCATTGCATGACACGTGTGTACTTATATGCAGGCAATACACTCATACGCATAAAAATAATAAAATATTTTAAAGATTTTTATTATTTTTAAAAATTACATTTATGTGGGTGTCTGGGTATATGCATCTAAGTGCAGGTGCTCACAGCCCAAAAGAGGGCATCAGATCCCCTGGAACTGGAGTTACAAGCAGTTGTAAGCCACCGAATATGGGTGCTGTGAACTACCCTTGGGTCTTAAGCAAGTTTTATTTATTATTTTATTTTTTAGACAGGGTCTCCCTGTGTGGCCCTGACTGGTTTGGAACTCACTATACAGACCAAGTTGGCTTCAAACTCAGAGTGATCTAGCACCTGGGAGGTAGAGGCAGAAGGATCAGAAGTTCAAAGTCATGACCTAGGGAAGATGGTTTAGTCAGTAAGTACCTGCCACAAAAGCATGAGCTTAGATTCCCAGCATACATAAAAAAAGGAAAAAAAAAAAAAAAAGAAGAAGAAGAAGGAAAAAAAGCAGGGCATGTGCATCTGTAACTCCAATACTGGGTAGGATGGACACAGGTGACCCCTGGAGCTCTTTGGCCAGACAGCTAGCTGAATTGATGAGCTCTAGGTTCAGCCAGAGACCTAGTCTGAGCACCTATGTCAAGTGGCTCACAACTGCCTGTAATTCCAGGTCTAGGAGGCTCTAGCTCCTTTAGCCTCTGTGGGCACCTGCACTCATGTGCAGGTACCCACACACAGACACTTAACATAATTAAAAATAATAAAAATAAATATAAAAATGAATAAATAAGATGGAAAGTGAGCCACGAAAACAACTGAAACTGCCTTCTGGCCTCTATACACACATGTGAAGGTTTACCTGAACATGCACACTCAAATGGACACATACATATACTATACCCACACAAAGTTCAAGGTCATCCTTGAAAGGCTAGCTTGAGATACATGAGGTCCTATCTCAAAAAACAAAAACAAAAATGTAGAAACATACTCTTCACATTTGCACTTCCATTTCTGGGAACTAATCCAACAAAAATAGAGGCACCATTTGAAATGACTAACGACTGAAAACAAAAGTGAACAAACATGCACTCTCGGTGTGAAGTACAGTGCACCTTATGACTTCATTTCTCTGAAGCAATGACAAAACATTCTGTACACACACACCATATGTACCTATGTATACAAAGATCTGTGTTAGACTGTATGCAGGCAAATACAGAGGGATACACATTAAGCCACTGGTTAAAACAGTCATGGACAGGATGGAGCAGGCCAGATTCAGTGTGAAAGGAAGTGTCCGTGATAAAGATGTGTGATATATTTGCATGTGCATGCACAGAGATGCATTCAAAACATTTTAAATAGACACAATTTTTTAAAACTGAAGAAATATCTGTATTACGTAGAGAAAAGGTTTTCACAATGAAAAACACAAGTGAAAATACTGTCTTTGTAAATATACATTACCAGAGTGAGTAGTCATTCATTGTCCACACCAAGGACATGATGAAATCACGGTAGATACTGGTGTGTGTGTTTATCTGGTGCAGGCTACCATCCAACTAAATGTACAAAGGTGTTATCAACTCGCCTATAACAACATTCCCAGGTCAGTGAGACTGGATTAGAGCACCTCTGCCACATCAGTGTGTTTGACAGTACCTACTGGATGCAAGAGCTTTCATGGATAGCGGATGTGCCTCAGAAAAGTTACCTGGTAAATGAGGTGAACATAAGGAGGATCCTGAGAAAGTGGATACATTGGAGAGAATCTCTTCTCATTGTGTAGAAAATCCATGAGTTCAAAAAGATACTGCTGCATTTCGATCAGATTCCTAGATAGGATTTCCAACTCCTTAGATTGCTGGGAAGTTTCCTTTCCTTTTTCTAAGTTCTCCCTTTGAGATAAATTAGGTTCTGGTGTGCTGGTGTGGTCTGGCATTTTGCTGGGTCTGGGCAATGTTGTCCAAACCCAGGAAGGCCTGTGAAGAGTTTCCTGGGTAATGGAACCACCAGAGATAGTGGACAAAGGACTTGTAATTTCTTGAATAAGGGCTCTTCCAGACCTCCCACTCTGACTACTGCTATGAGCTCTTAACAATGACCCTCTGTTTAGGGTACTAAAACCTGGGGAAAGACTTTCAGTGAACCTTTCTCTATCTGCTTTATTTAGTAGAGCACTGAAGGCAGAGGAAGCACTTTGGCTTTCAATAGGCGTTATGGAAGATTCTTCTCCCAACATTACTTCTCGAACAATCAGGCGAACGTTGTACTGATCAGATTCTGAGGAAGGAAGAAATGCTGTTTCGGTGAACTTTTGCTTTCCCACGGAAATTAATAATAATCTGTCTGTCAAGAAACATATGCCTTTTGGTCTTTCGTTACTTTCTAACTGAATTTGCTGGATCTTTGGCATAGAAGATGGAATGGCAGAATAGATCAAAATTACATTACAAGTATTGGAGGCCACTGCTACCAGCTGTGCTTTAAGATTAAATGCTATTAGATCAGGAACCAGAATGCCCGGAATGGCAACCTTTCTGGTCACAGTAACTGCTTTTTTAAAGGTTACAAAGACCAAATGTGAAGAATCCTGGCCAGTTCCCGTCAAGTAGTCCTTTTTTCTTAGGCAAAACAGAGAGCTCTCCTCTGCCCTAGACTGGTTAAAATGTATATGAGTTAGATCTAGAGGATCTGAAAAGGAAGGAGAAACTATCATTCCAGAATTCATTTCAGAAGCAGCTACTGGCTTATTCATTAAGGGTACTGCAACAATCTCAGGAAGAGTATGCACACTGGCATCTTCACCATTAGATGGGACATCAAAGGTTTCAGAAGCATTTAAGCTACAAATCTTATCTAGTGGGAGCTCAGTGGCTATAGCAACCTGTGAGTCCACAGTAGCTGTGATGGAACGGATGGAGCGATCCACATCGAACACCGGGCAGAAGGAGCACTTGTGAAGAGTCTTCTGAGCACTGTCCCAAATGTAAGAATGAAGGCTGCTCTCTATTGCCACCACCAGTCTCTGGCCATCCAGGGTCCAACATGCACAGTAAATGCGGCCCTTGGTGTTGATGTCCACTTTTACTCGTGAACTGTCACAGTGAACATCAGGAAAAATGGAAACATCCTGTGCAGTCAGCACAGACAGGACAGTGCTTTTTGGGTGCCACACACAGCCCTGGGGAAGGACAGGCAGTGTTTCCCTGATTTGAGAGGTCTGAGACATCTGCCATTTGCTTGACCCCAAAGTTCTGGGACATAGCTGCCACACAGCAATATGCTTCTTGTGTTGGACAGCAAGCAGGGCAGGCATGTTAGCTGTGTTGGGTGGGGCCCAGGAAAGCCCGCAGACATGTTCAAACTGTCCAATGACTTTGGAGTCCCCAAACTTGGCCTCTCCACTATGAAGCTGCAAATCAGTCAGGACTACCTGATTCCCATCAGTCCAGGCAAGGCCATGGGTTGGGTGGATTGCTTGATACAATGAGTTCAGTCCAGTCCTAAGCAGTTTTCCTTTTCCCAAATCCATCCTTGCTAGTAAAGGTTATCTGAAATGATTAAGAAATAAAGTTACACATGATAATTAAAAGTATCAGGCTGGTGGAACTAACCATATTGGATGTTTAACAGCCATAGTTTAAGGTCTATACTAATGTGGTCAGAGGGACTTAAAGGACAGTTTTTGCCCCTTGCCCTCCAAGACTGGGTTGACTAAGCTCCAGGGGACTATGAGCATCTCTCAAAATGTTCTATCACTGTGGTACATCACCTATCCTCTTGATCAGGGAGTCCATGGAGACCACTCCAGATGGACTTGAACTAGTGTCCAGTCTACAAAGAGGAGGCTCAACACAGAGGAAATATTTCCTCCATGCTTCCAAGTGAAGCCAGCCATGATCGAGCAGGACCTTTGACTTATCTTCACATAGATGGAACTAGTAAAAGAAAGGAGGCAGGAGCTCCTCCCAAGCCCATGTGACCCCTGAGGAACAGATCCTCAAATGACCTTAAGTATAAAAATAAATTGATTTATTTGGGCCAACTGCGTGGTCTTAAACACCCAAAAGGAAAGTATAACCAAAGAGTAAAATCATCAGTATACTTCTTTAAGAGTCATGGAGAAAATAACACTGACAAAACAGTAGATGGCTGCCTCAAAACACTTTAGTAAACAGATTATATGTAAGTAAAAATTAAAGTCATAATATAAATATATATATATACACACACACACACACATATATATATATATAAAATTGGGGGGGCGGTCTTTTTTGAGACAGGTTCTCCCTGTAGCTCCAGCTGGCCTGGAACTTGTTATGTAGGCCAGGCTGTCTTCCATCTCACAGAGATTCACCTGCTTCTGTCTCCCAAGTGCCAGAATTAAAGGTGTGAGCCACTACACCTGGCTAATATCACAGAATTAAATGCCACAATCTGATTACATAATTAAATTTTCAAATGAATGTGTTTTAAATTTTTTATTTTGTGGGGACTGGAGAGATGACTCAGTGGTTAAGAGCACTGATTGCTCTTATAGAGGATCCAAGTTCGATTCCCAGCACCTACATGGTGGCTAACAACTGTTTATAACTCCAGTTCCTCTCATGCCTTCTTCTGACCTACGTAGGCATTGCACAACACAGGTGTACTTATACACATGCAGGAAATACACTCATACACATAAATAAAATATTTACAAAATTTATGTTTTTTAAAAAATTTTATTATATTTTATGTGTATGTGTGTATTGCCTGCCTGTAAGTGCACCCATGTTGTGCAATGCCACAGAGGTCAGAAGAGGCTGTCGGATCCCCTGGAACTGGAATCAAGGACAGTTTTTAGCTGCCATGTGGGTGCTGGGAGTCGAACCTGGGTCTTCTGCAAGAACAACCAGTGTTCTCATCTACTGAGCCATCTCTCCAGCCTACAAAATTTCTTTTATTTTGTGTGTGTGTGTGTGTGTGTGTGTGTGTGTGTACACATGCATATGGCGGTCAGAGGACAACTTGAAGGAGTCAGTTCTCTCCTACCATGTGAGTCTAGAGGATTGAACTCAGGTTGTCAGGTTTGGCAGCAAGCACCTTTACCCACTGAGTCATCTAGCCAGCCCTGTTTTTTGAAACAAGATCTTGCCCACTATGTAAACCTAGCTGGCCTGAAACACTATGTAGCTCAGGCTGGCCTTGAACTCAGTGAACTCTTCCAGTCTTAGACTCCCAAGTGCTGAGATTACAAGTATGAGTCATTATACCCAGCAAGAAACTCATTTTGGGGGGGGGGTCTTTTTGAGACAGGGTCTGTATCCTCAGCTGGCCTGGAACTCTCTTTATAGACCAGGCTGGCCTTGATCTTACAGAGATCCGCCTCCCAAGTGCTGGGACCAACCACACCTGGATCATTTTTAAGAATTTCAACTTTAAGGGCTAGAGAGATGGGTCAGTGGTTAAGAGAACTGGTTGCTCTTGCAGAGGACCTGGGTTTGGTTTCCAGCACCCACATGGTGATTAACAACCATCTGTATCCAGTTCCACGGGATATGACACCCTCTTCTGGCCTCCACAGGCATGGCATGCATGTGGTACAGCTACATGCATGAAGGCAAAACACTCCTATACAAAAATAAGCCGGGCGCACATCTTTAATCCCAGCACTCAAGAGGCAGAGGCAAGTGGATTTCTGTGAATTCAAGGCCAGCCTGGTCTACATAGTGAGTTCCAGGCCAGCTGGGGCTACAGGGAGACCCAGTCTCAAAAAGACCACAACAAACAAACAAACATCAAAAAACCAGCTCTTGTCTTTAATCCCAGCACTCTCTGTGAGATCAAGGCCAGCCTGGTCTACAGTGAGTTCCAGGACAGCTGGAGATACAGGGAGATCCTGTCTTTAAAAAAAAAAAATCACAAGATAAACCTATGTAGTATGTACCTACTTATGAAAAAAAATCATTATGTGTCTATACATGTATGTATAAGCATAAAGATAGAGAAACAGATGAAGAATGATTCATGAAATAATCACAGCAGACACTGAGGCGGGGTGGAATAAGAGACAGTGGGACTGTCTCTGTATTTGGGTGGAAAGTTTCTTTAATAAACATGCATTCAAATTTAACTTTTTGTAATAGAAAAAAAGTTAATATTTAAGAAATATACTTACTTTTTAAAGAGCTTTTAAACTTAAAACCTAAACTTTTGGCTGGGAGTGGTGGTGCATGCCTTTAATTCCAGCACTTGGGAGGCAGAGGCAGGCAGATCTCTGTGAGTTCAAGGCCAGCCTGGTCTACACAGCGAGTTCCAGGTCAGCTGTAGCTACAAGGAGATCCTGTCTCAAAAAGCCAAAAAAAAAAAAAAAAAAAAAAAAGCAAAAAGTGATGCTATCATCTTTTGCTATCAAAGAATCCTCCAACTTGCACACCCTTGTTCACCACTCCTTATCTCTGACTAGGCCACTTTTCCAGTCTCTTCTACAAAGCAGCTCTCACAAAGCCATTCTTCTCATGAGCCCTAATGGACATCACTCAGCTTATTTTATTGAGCAGTAAATGTCAAATCGGAACTTGAGAAGTTGTCTTCTGACTCTATCCAAAGGAATGAATTTGATACCAAAAGCCTGGTAATTGGGTTTTAACTTATCTGTAAATGTATTTTTTTTTGCCAGCTTCCTGTTTCTTCTTAGGATCTTGCATTAAGAAGGAATGTTCTGCTATGCTGCTGTATATGATGGCAGGTTAAATGGTTCGAGTGTCTTGCTAAAAGGAGAAATAAGTCCTCTGTCTTTACTAATAATGAAAACTGAAATCTTTATCCCACTGGTCTTCTATAATACGTAGTTCTTCCCTCATAACTACGCCCTTTTAAAAGGCTTATATTAATAATGCATGATATGCCAGGCGTGGTTGTGCACGCCTTTAATCTCAGCACTTAGGAGGCAGAGGCAGGTGGATCTCTGTGACTTTGAGGCCAGCCTGGTCTACATAGCAAGTTCCAGGCCAGCTGGGGCTACAGGGAGACCTGTCTCAAAAAGACCAAAACAACCCAACAACAACAACAACAAAATTGCATGATATAGTTTTCCAGGACAGAAAAATTCCTAATGGGTCAATTGTAACCAAAAGCAACTTATATGACATATTTTAGTCCACCCACTTCAGTCTAATGTCATCAAGGGTGTACGTGGACAGGGTAGCACAGAAAAAGAATCTGAGGTAAGAGGAAAACCAGCAAACATGATAGTATGCTCAGTGGGGCTTTTAAAGAATAAATTTTAGAATATTTGCCTTTAAGAAGAAATCTGGCATATTTTTCTCAAAACTAAGAACTACAAAAATCTGCTCCATTCCTTTCTACTCTTGTGCTAGCAGAGGTCCTCGTCATCTCTTTCTTCTTATTAGGGTAGATTAAGACAAGGCCTCCTTGACTCTAGTCTTTTCTTTCCAAAAGAACTTGAGTGTTATGTGGTGTTAGGCAGAGGGTTTTTTTTTGGGGGGTTTTTTTTGGCTTTTTGAGACAGGTCTCCCTGTAGTCCCAGTTGGCCTGGAACTCGCTATGTAGATCAGGCTGGCCTTGAACTCACAGAGATCCACCTACCTCTGCCTCCAGAGTTCTGGGACTAAAGGTGTGCACCACTATGCTCGGCCAGAATTTTTTAAAAACATTTTTTAAAATTAAAAATTGGGGTTTGGGGGCTGGAGAGATGGCTCAGTGTTTAAGAGCACTGGCTGCTCTTGCAGAGGACCTGGGTTCAATTTCCAGCACCCACATGGCTAATAACCATCCATAACTCCAGTACAAGGGGAATCTGATGCTCTCTTATGACTTCTATGGGCACTGCATCACACAGTTGCATTTACACACATGCAGGTAATACACTCATACACATAAAATAATACAAATAATAAATATTTTTTTTAATTGGGGGGTGGCTGGAGAAATGGCTCAGTGATTAAGAGCACTTACTGCTCTTACACATGACCCAGTCTGGTTCTCAGCACCCACACAGCCACTCACAACTGTCTGTAACTCTTAGTTCAATGGGATCTGACACCCTCTTCTGGCCTTCGTGGGAAATGCATGCAAATGGTGCACTTACATACATGCAGGCAAAACAGTTACATAGATAAAAATTTAAAAATAAATCTTAAAACATTTTTTTTTTTTTGTCTTTTCGAGACAGGGTCTCCTTGTAGCCCCAGCTGTCCTGGAACTCACTATGTAGACCAGGCTGGCCTTGAACTCACAAAGATATGCCTGCCTCTGCCTCCCAAGTGCTGGGATTAAAGGTGTGTGCTGCCATGCCCGACCCCTTAAAACATTTTTACATTGATTTATGTGTGTATGTATGTGCATGGCACACATGTGAAAGTTAGAGGACAACTTGCAGAGGTTGGTTCTCTCCTTCTACCATGTGGGTCCTGGGGATTGAACCGGTCTTCAGGCTTGATGGCAAGTGTCCTTATCCATTCTGAGTCATCATGTTGCCCACCCCTCCCCCTTTTTTTTAGTCACTTTGCTCTACAGTTCCAAAACTTGAAGGCTGGACAAAGTCTCCTCATATATAAAAACATTCTTCCAGGTCTGAGGATGTAGGTGTTTGGCAGAGTTTGAGCCTAGAATGCTCATGCTCAACATCTTGAAGTCAATACCCAGCACTTCAAAAATGATAATAATAATAATAATAATAATAATAATAATAAATAGTGTTCTTTCAAAAGGTGTTAAGGATTTATGTGGTGCCGAGGACCTTGCACATGAAGAGCTCTACCAACCGAGATACACTGTTATATTATTTGCTACAGCCATAATTTTCAACTTGATTTCTCTGATCTTAAAGGACCTACTGAGGAATTTGGGGCAAAACAACACATGTTACTGTGACAATATACAGGATGCACCTGAAAAAAGTTGATTTAATAAGGGGTCATGAAATAGTCTGAATGCCACAATAAGAAAGTGAAAAAGAGGTTGGTGAGATGGCTCAGCACATAAGAATGCTTGTCACTCAAGTCTTATAACCTGAGTTCAATTCCTGGATCCCACAAAATGGTAGGAGAGAACGAACTCACAAAGTTATCATGAAACCTCCACACATAGGGTGTGGCACACACCATTAATTCCAGCACTCAGGAGGCAGATGTAGGGGATCTATATAGCAAGGTCCAGGCCTCTCAAGACTGCAGTGAGAGATCCTGTTTCAAAAAACAAAACAATAACAAATCAGAAAGGGAGCTGGAAAGATGGCTCAGCAGTTAAGAATGTGTTCTGCTGAGTGTGTACTGCACTAGCAGAGGATCTGAGTTCAGTTCTGAGCACCCACTAACTCCAGTTCCACAGGGATCAGACGCCTCTGGTCTCCACTAACATCTGCATTTGCATGCACATACACACATACACAAGTACAGATAATAAAAATAATTTAAAAAATCAGAAGGCTGGTGGGATGGCTCATCACGTATAGATGCTTACAAACCTGATGACCTGAGTTCAATTCCTGGATTCCATAAATCCAGGCAAGTGAGAACTGATTCATGAATGTTATCCTATGACTACATGTGTGTCATAAAGTGTACATAAGATCAATACATACACACACACATAAACCAGAGAGCCAAGCCAGGTATGGTGCGTCCCACCTGTGATCCCAGCACTCAAGAGGCTAAGGCAGGAAGGTTGCCATGAATCTGAAGTCAGCCTGTGCTACACAGTGAGTTCCAGGTCAGCCTGGGCTTCAAGTCTCAAAAAGATCCAAACCAGATCAAAACAAACAAACAAACCCGCTTCACCTGCCCAAAAGAAGGAAAAGGAGAAGTGAGGCACGGGGGAGACAGGTACTGGCTAAAACTTAATTGAATAATTGGTTTCAGGGGCCTCCTGCAATTAGCTAAAAGTTCTGGTACTGTGGTTTGTGATTTAACTCTACCTTGGTTGGGTCCGTTGGGCCCAGTACAGGAATCTTGTTCAAGTCAATGACTCTTACAAAATTTTACTGAACACTGTACAAGTTTTTATCCGATGTTTTTAACTTAAAGTTACGCTATTCGCATTTTCCCATTACTTTAAGCAATGAAGTTACATAATTTATTCAACTCAGTCCTGACACACCTACCTGTTTGTAACTGACTTTATCCTGTCATAAATAAGGCTGTGATACATGTCGTTGCACAGAAAGCATTTTCTTTATTTTGGACATTCCTTAGGCTGGATTCCAGAGGTATCATTCGTGAACCACAAACGATATATTCACTTATTAAAACCCACACTGCCTGATCCTTAGCCTCCTGTGCTACAAGCCGGCCGCGTTCTCAACTTCGCCCCACGCCTGCATCTGTGTCATTCTCCCGTGCCCTATGTGCCTCCCAACACGCTCCGGGCCTGGCAGCAAAGGAGACGAAATACCTTTGGTCTCCCCCAACCCCGACCCCTCGCTCCCCAACACACAAAAAATCCCGGGGTCAGCTCACGTCACAGGACAGCGGATCAGAAGTCCTGGCAGCTAACGGAAGCATCGGCCCTCGGTCCTCTGATAGGACAACGAAGGCTAGGCGAGCTCGGCACTGCCCCTAGACTATTGGTTACTGAATGTGTCATATTAGAAGCGGGTCCTTCCTACTGGCCAGTAAGCCGGGGCTTTGCCGCAAGGGCCTCTGGGAGTTGTAGTTCCTTTGACTCACCGCCCATAAATCGCCACAACAAATCCTTATCAAGAGTTTTAGTCTCTTCTCCCACTTCTAATCCGTTTTTTAGAAGGAGTCCATAAAAAAGAATCACAGTTCTAGGGTCAACATGGCTTCTCAATGTTTTTTGGCTTGGAAGAGAGGAGTCAAGGGCTCCCTTTAAAATCCCGTAGAACTGGGGCTGGAGAGATGGCTCTCAGCCTTTAGGAGGATTCATTCAGTACCCAGCATACACACGGTGGCTAGCAACCATTCCAGTTCCTGGTGATCCTACGCCCTCTTCTGACCTCCCCAGGCATTGCACATATGGGTGCACTTACATACATGCGGGCAAAACACTTATACACATAAAAAATAAAAATAAATTTAGGCCGGCATGGTGGTTGCAGACCTTTAATCCGGAGGCAGAGGCAGGAGGATCTCTGTGAGTTTGAGGCCAGTCTGGTCTACATAGTGAGTTCCAGGTCAGCTGGGATTACAAAATAAATAAATAAATAAATAAATAAATAAATAAATAAATAAAAATTTAAAAGTAAATCCCGTAGAATCTCCTTTCCAAAAATGTTATACACAAAATAGTGTCCACCTGAAGCTGCTTCCTAGGCCTGTTCAAGCTGCAAATCTGTTCTACACCTAATCCAGACGTACCTGTCTAAGGCCATAGCCCATAGGGTTGGCATCTCTAAGCTTCTTAAATCTTGGAAGACTGTAGGCCACACCAGTGGAGTTTTCCAAATCCTGACCGCAAGTACAGCCGACCATCTTTCCTGAACAACAACTTAGGGCCTCTTTCAGGGATCCTGGTAACCTCATTTGTGACCTAGTCATCTGGGAGAGTGGGAGTGGGGAAAACAGAACACCTCAAGGGTGACTTCTGGGATCCCTTGAGCAGGTCTTTCTCCGGTACCCACCTTCTAGGTCATTTGTCAGAATCAAATTCCTGTCTATTTTTGCAACAATGAAGAATGAGATAACATTTCTAAAGTCTTCATCCTTCAAGCAACTCTTAACCTCCTCCTATCATACCTTTCTAGAGACTGAAGGTGTAGCCTCTACTAGCACTCTGGGTTCAGTTTCTTCACCAAGAGGACAGGGGTGGGGGTAGGAGAGGGTGTTTTAAAAAAATGCCTTTCTAGACTCCTGTTTGGGGTAGTGGTAAAGGGTGGAATTCACTCACTCCTTCAGTACTCAGCACCCAGTGCTATAAGTGTGCCCTCAGATCCTACAGCCCAGCCCCGTTTTAACTCAGTTGAACTCCCCAGGGCGCAGTTCTTTGCTTTAAACAGTGAGAACCCAATACAAATGCTTGCAGTGGAACTCTGCGCGATAATGAATAGGGCATTCACCCCTCCCCCGCCTCCCCCGCCCTGCTTCTACAAATTCGGGAAGCCTAGCCAGTGTGGGTACCAGTCTCGGGTGCTTCCATTGTGCTCTGAACCCCATGGCACGGAGCACATGTGTTTAAAGTGTTAGTTTAATTACTGGCCTTCTCTTCCTATAGGCTCGGGTTGACTGCCGAGAGCTTTGCACAGAGTAGGTGCTTAACTATGCATTGAACGGGTGGATGCGTGGATGGATGCTTGGATGTGCGAGTGCCTACACCCCTCGCTCACCACCCTCCCCAGCTAGTGGGTTAATGGTCTTTAGTCTAGCCCGGCTCGGGAGCAGCCACGTCAGGGTAGCTTCCCCCGGCCCCGCCCCGGCCCGACCCCACCTTGCCGCGCAGCTCCACCCCGCCGCCCCTTCCCGACCGCCCCTCCGGGCGCAGGTCCCGGCTTCAGCCGCACCTCCTCCGGCTCTGCAGTGGCGGCAAGGAGGCGAGCCGGAGCGTCTGCCGGGTCGGGCCTGAGTCGAGCCGGGGTCGGGGCAGCCTCGAGGACCCCCCCGGGAGGCGGAGCCTGTGGGACCGCGATGGGCGTAGAGATCGAGACCATCTCCCCTGGAGACGGTACCGGGCTGCGGGGCCGGGGACGAGGAGGGGTCCCGAGGTGGAGCTCGCGGGCAGGGGTCTGATTCCGAGGTGGCTCGGGGGTGGAGGTGGGCCGAAGATGCGGGCAGCGGGAGGGGCTCTTCCTTATTTCTGGGGGGCTCTAGGAGACGATCCTCCACCACCCCCTTGCCTGCCTGCTACTAGGGGAGTAAAGGCGGCGGCTTTGGGGCTGCGGGGTATGCGCCCCGCCACCGCCTGGGGCTGCGGTGGTTGCTGCCTGCGCTATAACTGCTGCTCACTTCCCAGGTTTGGATTTCAGCCCCTTTCTCTGCCCTGTGGAGTGAACAGGAAACCAAGGGGTGAACCTGCTTTGGGTCCCTGCTGCTCTGGGGACCCCCACCTAACGCTCCCCACCCCACCGGGCCTCCTGTCTGGCCGCCCCAGGGCTGGGCTGTAAGCTGCATGGAGAGAGCCAATTTGGGGACCTGCTTCTCCTCTCGCTTTTGCATTTTATTTCGTTGTCCGGTTCCCACTCCAGGCTCTCTAGTGACCCTGCCCACCGTCCTTTCCTCCGCACTTACACCTGAGACCCAGCCCTGGGACCTGCTTGACCGCCTGGATTGTCAGGAATGCCCCAGGCAGCCAGTCCAGAACAGAGCTCGTGTTCTCTCCCTTGTGCACCCCAAGCGCTCCTGTGGGTTCCCTGTCCACTGTCAGAGGACCAGCACTCTCTTTCCCAAGCACTTCGATAATTAGGGATAGATATGCAACGAATAGCTACTTCTTTCCTAAAATTTAATTCAGACCCCAAACTCCCAGGTTTGCAGGGTTTAACAGGCAAACTTCCTGTCAAATATTAATGGCATCCTCCAAGAAATTGGAGGGCTTCTTGGTTCCAGAAGGAGGGGTTCCTGGAAGTACTGGCCAATATTCAGATCACTCCTGGGTTAAAGGTTTCCCTGTCCTCGCAGAGAGTCTTGGCGCTAGGGTCCAGGAAGCCTTTCTTTGGCCTTGTCGTAGTCATAGTCTTTGAACTGTCTTCCCACCATCATTCTCAACCTGCTGCCTTCTGTTTGACTCCCCTTCCTCACTCTCTTCATTTTCTGCACAGCCTCTTTTGAAAATGGAGAGTTTAACAGGTCCCTCCCTCAGGCAGAAAATCATGAAAGGATTTCCCCCCTACTTCTGTAGGCAGTCTGACCCTTGGCTAATCTAACTGGCCACACTGGAACTTCCTTTTTTGCTATAGTCCCTGCACCCATGAACAACTTTACCAAATTGCCTGCAAGTTGTTAAACACACCATTCATTTAGCAAATATTTATGGAACATGTACTGTGTGTTGAACCCTAGGAATACAGGGGTGAAACAGGCCACCACTATGACTGGACTCCAGGACTCTAGACTTTTTGTAGTGACAGTGCTGGGGGTACAACCCAGGCCCTGTACATGCTAGGCAATGCTCAGCCACTTCCAACTCTGGATCCCAGGCTCTTTGCTTTCCCAGGTAAACTCCTGTTCATTTTTTAAAGATCCAGTTTGACCATTTTCTGCTCTGTGATGCTTTCTCCAGCTCCTTGGGTCCTAAAGTTGCTCCCTTTTGTAGACTCCGACAGCTCATTAAATGTTGACTGGTTGTTAACCTTCCCAAGCTCATAATCCAGCCTCATAGCTTTAAATTCCACCCAGATCTATTAACTCCAATGTAGACTCTGCATCTGCCTTCTCATGGAAAAACTTGCATATCTTATAGACATTACAAGATTGCCGGCACAAATCTGTTCCTCTTCAGTTTTCCCTTCTCTGAGAACAGCTCCACCACCCTTCAGTTGCCCAAATTGAAAACTCAGGCATCTTTCTTGTTTTTGCCTTTTCCCTCATCCAGTGGTGAGATTGGTGATGGGCCCCCCTCCAATTCATTTGCCTGTCCTGTCTGCTCCATTTCCAAAATATATTTCCAATCTATTTCACTGTTTTCCCTGCTGCCACTATCTTAATTCATGCCATCATTGATTTCTTGTCTAGATTATTGCAGCAGATGTCTAACCATCTATCTCACACACAGCAGCCAGTGATCTTATAAAATCTTAATTTGGATTAGGTCATTCTCTTACTTAAAACCCTCCAGTGGTTTTCTATTGCACTTAGAATTAAACCCAGGTCTGCAACTCTGCATGATGCATCTCTTCCCTATTCTTCTCCTCCCTCTCTTCCTTCCAGCCACCCTGTTCCTTTCTGTTCTGCAAACACAGCAATCTTTTCCTGCTTCAAGCAAGGTCTGTGTATTGGTTCCTTCCTTCAAGTCCCAGCTCAAATATTACCATCTCAAGATGCCTTCCTGGAATGCCCTTTCTAAAACTGTTTGAATACTGTGTCTCTCTTGAATTCATCATTGAGTCAATTTTCTTTAAACAGTTTTTTTTTTTTTTTTGAGCCGGGTGTGGTGGTGCATGTCTTTTATCCCAGCACTTTGGAGGCAGAGGCAGGCAGATATCTGTGGGTTCAAGGCCAGCCCAGTCTACATAGTGAGTTCCAGGCCAGCTGGAATTTTTTGTCTCAAAAAAATTATTTATTTATTTTTTTCTGTTCATGTTTTGCCTGAATGTAAGTGTACCCATGTCGTGCAATGCCTGTGGAGGACAGAAGAAGGTATCAGATCACTTGGAACTGGAATTACAGATGGTTGTTAGCTGCCTTGCGTGTGCTGGGAACTGAACTTAGGGTCCTCTGGAAGAACAGCCAGTGCTCTTAACCACTGAGCCATCTATCCAGCCCCCTGTGTTAATTTTCTTCAGAGGATTTATCACAATCTATAATTATCTTATTTATATAAGTATTGCTTGACTCCCCCCATTAGAATATAAACTAGGGAGATGACTGAGTAGGATAAGAGCTCTTGCTATGCAAGCATGAAGACTTGAGTTTGAATCCCCAGCACTCCCATAAAAAAGCTGAGTATGTGCCTGTAACCCCAGCATTGGGGAGTAGAGACAGGTGGATCCTTGGTGTTTCATGGCATAGCTTCCCATTTAGTGACTGACCCTGTCTCAATGCCATAAGGTAGAGAGGGACAGAGGAAGACACCTGAGGTTTTACTCTGACTTCCACATACAAGCAGCACATGGGCATGCATACCTGCATACTCACATGCATGTACCACACCACATACACAAAAAGAAAGAAGAAAGGAAGAAGAAAGAAAGGAAAGAAGAAAGAAAGAAAGAAAGAAAGGGAAAGGAAAGGAAAGGAAAGGAAAGGAAAGGAAAGGAAAGGAAAGGAAAGGAAAGGAAAGGAAAGGAAAAAGCAGAATGTAAAGTTCAGAAGAGCAGGTCACTGCTATATCTTTGGCATGAAGCACAGGCCTGGTAGTTAGCAATCTGTTATGAATGGTTGTATTTATTCGCCCTTCAGAGCAACCATGACTCTGTAGTAATCTAGAATGTATGTTTCTGCTTCCTTAACTTCCTCATTTGTTCCTATATTGCTCTCTGTCTCTGGAGTCTATTCAGGCCTGCCACATAGAGAGTTCATAAATGTGTGTGGAATAAATGAAAGGAAAAGAAGAAATAAAGGGAAGGCAGGTATTTTTTTGTGGGGGGACTGGTAAGTTGAGATCAATGGCATAAAGTTCAAATCCAGACCAGAAAGCTGTCTTTAGTTCTCTCTTTAGAGAGAAAGAGGGCCACAGGCATCTCCATGGTGTGGAGGGGGATGTGGGCTAATCCGGGTCATGATCACATTTGCGTTCTTAGGTGAGTTTTTTCTAATACCCTTCTTCTTTATCTTACCCTCATGTCTCCCTATAGGAAGGACATTCCCCAAGAAGGGCCAGACATGCGTGGTACACTACACAGGTAGGCCTCGCTCCCTCAGCCCTTACCCAGGCCTGCCCCTCCCGGGGCTGGGCTGTTCTCTGAGTTCTCTCTGGAGAGTTCTGTCCTGGATCAGCTCCAAAGCCCAAGGCAGCCAGGTTTCCTGTCTCCAGTTTAACCTTCCCGTACTGTAACCAAGACCATCTGTGGATACTGGTAGAATATAGCATCTCCAGTTCCCTTCTCTCATGATATGCAGGGTAGCATCCTGACCCGCCTGGTTCTGTCTTGTATTTGAGACTGTCTCACTCTGTATCCCAGACTGGCCTAGAACTCACAGTTGTTCTGCCTCAACCTCCTTCTAACACTGGGCACCAACTGTGCAAGATGCTGAGCTGGGCCCCTGGGACACAGAGATGAGAAAGGATGATCCCTACCTTTATAGGGCTATGGTGTTGGATGGAGAAAAAAACACGAGTCACTCAGAAAGTCCAGTATGGTGAGAGGGAAGGGATAATGGCAGTGTTTGTCTTCAGGTGCTTGGAGTGTCCAGAGGAGAGTGCAACATCTCTGTTGTCCCTTTTTGAATGCTGTATAATTTGAAGGTCAGGTGGGCCAAGGGACATTCTAGATGAGTTCTTTAGGGCTTCTGAGCAGGAAGATCACAAGTAAGTGTTTGTTCTAAGAGGTGTGATGACTTTGCCTTGTGACCCACTTCCTAATGTGGCAAACTTTGTGGGTGACAGCCATTTAGCATACAGCAAGGACAGCTTAATTCCTGTGACATATTCAGATGGGGCCATTTTTAGTAGTTCTCTGGGCCAGTGTGAAGCACCAGGTTGGTTCTGGTTCTATCAGATGATGTGGATGTTTCTCAACAGCTGTGTCACCAGTTGCTGATACCAGGGCACCAGGGCTGTTTTATCTCCCGGTGATATGGCTAATTATCTTGGGGACTCTGGAGCTGCTGACCAGGGTAATTGATTTATCTGTTCTACATATTGTGGACAGACCATTGTTTATCAAGTTAATGAAACTGCAGTTTCCTTTTGTAGTCTTTCCATAGTAAATACTTAGAACAGACAATGTGCATTAAACACTAAAATCAGCTTTCAGTGGCTTTGCTTTGGGGAGAAACTCTTTATCAAATACAATAGGAGACTCTATATATGAGACTTCTGGTAAACTTAATTTTTTTTAAATTTGTTTATTTTAATTTTATGCATGAGTATTTTGTCTGCATGTATGTTAGGTCCACCTGTGCATGTCATGCCCATAGAGGTCAGATGAGGGCATGGGACCCCTAGAACTGGAGTTACAGATGGTTGTTAGCCATCATATGGATGCTGGGAACAGAACCTGGATCCTCTGCAAGAGCAGCTAATGCTCTTAACTGCCAAGCCATCACTCCAGCCCCCTGGTAAACTTTCTTATAAGCTGGGTCTGGTAGCACTTGGGAGGTGGAGACAGGAGGCTCAGGAGTTAAAGGCCAGCCTTGGCTACATAGTGAGTTTGAGGGTGGTCTGGAATTAATGACAACATAATTACAAATTATAGTTAAATGAATTATTATTATTATTACTATTATTATTTGGTGCTAGGTATCAAACCCAGGGCCTCTCATATATTAGGCAAGTACTTTATCACTGAGCTATATTCTCCAGCTTCATTGAGGTTTTTCAAAGTGATCACTCTTATGTAATACCACCCAGATAAGCGTAAATATTCCCAGCACCATCAGTCTTCTCTCTCCTGCTTCTCTTCAGTCAGTCTACCTCCGTAAAGATAACCATTATTCTGATGTTTGTCCTTATGGATTGGTGTTTTCATTAAAATTTTTTTAATTACATGCATTTACTTTAATGGGGAGAGGGGTGCATGCATGCCACAAGATGCCTGTGAAGGTTAGAGGACAACTATAGGTCCTGGGGCTGAAACTTGGGCTGTTAGGTTTGGTGGCAAGGGATTTGAGACATCTTGCTGGCACAGTATTTTGAAGCTTTTAAAGAGATGCATAGAGTATGTAGTCTTAAAGAGGTTCATAGACTATGTAATTTTGGCTTATTTCATGTACTATGATATCTGTGAGATTTTTCTTTTCTTTTTCTTTTTTTTTTTTTTTTTGGTCGTTTTGACAGAGGGTCTCCCTGTGGCCCCAGCTGGTCTGGAGCTATGTAGACCAGCAAGCTGGCCTTGAACTCACAGAGATCCCCCTGCCTCTGCCTCCCAAGTGCTGGGGTGAGAGGCTTGTGCCACCATGCCTGCCCAAGTTTTTTTTTTTTTTTGGGGTTTTTGAGACAGGGTCTCTCTGTAGTCCCAGCTGTCCTGGAACTCACTATGTAGACCAGGCTGGCCTTGAACTCACAAAGATCTGCCTGCCTCTGCCTCCCACATGCTGGGATTAAAGGTGTGTGCCACCACGCCCAGTTATTTATTTTTTTTAATATTTATTATATTTATTTTATGTATATGCATGTATTGCCTGCACGTAGGTAAGTGCACCCATGTCATGCAGTGCCTGTGGAGGACAGAAGAGGCTGTCAGATCACCTGGAACTGGAGTTACAGACAGTTGTTAGCTGCCATGAGGGTGCTGGGATTCGAACCTGGGTCTTGTGCAAGAACAGCGAGTGTTCTTAACCACTGAGCTGTCTCTCCAGCCCCCGTTTTTTTAAAAATATTTTTATTATATGCATATGAGTGTATTGATGGCATGCATGTGAGTGCACGTGTGTCGTGCAATGCTGGGGAGGTCAGAAGAGAGCTTCAGATTCCTCCGGAACTGGAGTTAAGGACAAGCCATGTGGGTGCTGGGAATCGAACCCGGGTCCTCTGCAAGAGCAGTCAGTGCTCTTTATCCGCTGAGCCATCTCTCCAGCCCGTTTTTTTTGTTGTTGTTGTTGTTGTTTTTGATTTATGTGTATGAGTGTTTTGTCTCTATGTATATAAGTGCAACTGTGTTGTGCAGTGCTCATGGAGGCCAGAAGACAGTGTAGGATCCCCTGAAACTGAAGTTAGTCTGAGTGCAGGTTAGTCTGAGTGCAGGTGTTGGGAACTGAACTTAGGTCCTCTGCAAGAGCAGCCAGTGAGCCATCTCTCCAGCCCCTTGTTTTTAACATGCTAGGAATTGAACCTGTGGTCTCACACATTAGGCAAATGCTCTACCCCTGAGCTGTATTCTCAGTTCTCTAGCCTTCTGTTCCCCTATGGTATTTCATTGTATGCATGCAGTACAGTTTATTTCACTTTTGTACTGCTGATGACCATTTGGATTGTTTACAGTCTCAGGTTATCATGAATAGTGTTTTGAGCAGCTTTGTAGATGCTCTTGGCATGTATGTGTACCTGTTTCTGTTGGGCATGTAGACAGAAATGAAACTGCTGGGGAACAAGGTAGTATGGTCAGTTTTAGTAGTGCTGAGCAGCTTTCTAAAGTAGTGCCTGTTTTCACTTCCATCAGCAGTGTGAGAGTGCCAGGCCCACTCTAGGGGTACCTGGTGACATCTCACTGCAGCTCTGATTTGGGATTCTCTGATTAGCAGTGAAGTTGGGCACCTTTTCATATGCTTATTGTCTATTTGGAAATCCTCTTTGTTCATATTCTATCCATTAAAAAAAACAAACAGATTGCTGGAGGTGTAGCTTAGTAGTAGAATGTGTGTTTAGTCTGTACAAACCTTGGACATTTTTTTGTGCTGCTAGGAATTGAACCTAGATCCTTGTGCATTCAGGCAAGTACTCCACCACAATGCCATTTCCCAAACCTGAAGTTTTATTATTTTATCTTTCATATTTAGGTTTATGTTTCTTCAGTTTTTGTGTGCAGGGTTGGTAGGGACTGAAGTTCAATTTTTTCTCCTATATGAATATAAAGTTGGCCCATTAATGTAAATCCAAGAACCCATCCTTTTTTTGATATATTATAGTAGCATCTTTGTCAAAGGAGTAAACATACTTGTGTGGACCTGTTTTGGGACTGTTTGATTTTTGGCTGAACATTCGACAGTAGATAAATGTACATGGTTCTAAGTAGATTCAGCTTTATGAAACCTGGAGACACCAGAGAATAAGAAAGCTAGTCTATAAGTGGATTGTACATGTGTACATATTTGAATGTGTATTTGTCCAAGTACATGACTGTGTGAATATATGCAGATCTGTGGAGCTAAATATTTTGTTAGTGTCTGTTTCGCTGTCAGGGCTTCTGAGTATATGTGTGTAAGTGCATGTGAGCATGCATAAATATCTTTGTGTCTTTGAATATCTTAGTAACTGTGTGTATGCCTGAGTTTGTATTTTATCTCTGTACCATCCATCTGTGTGTATCTCTGGGTAGCCAGAAGGGTTTTCTCCTTTGCCTCATTTAGAACTCAGGGCAAAAGCCCAATCTATTCTACCCAGAAGGTAGGTATATGCAACTCTCAAGCACACATTCAAGTTGTAGGAATTCAGAAGTGAAATCATAGATGCTCAGATACTTGTAGGCTGGCAGATCCTCCTATGTTAAATATGAAAAATATGAGACCCAGATAGAGGAAGTTATTTACCCTGTATCACACAGTGAGTGCCAGACTGAAGTCAAAACCCAGTCTCAGCTGGATGTCATGACTTACACTTGTGATCCAGAGACTGCTGCAAGTTCAAGACCAATCAGGGCTAGAGAGCAAGCTCCAGCCTGGCCTAGAGTAAGACCCTGTTAAAACAGACCAAACCAAACAGTAAGAACTCAGTTTCTGAACTTAAGAGGACAGGACTCCCAGTGGTCCCAGATTACCTTATGTGGTGGTTCAGCAGCTGCAGAAGTTGGATAGTGTGATTTACAGAAAGTCTTTAAGTGAGAGTATCAGTAAGAAGTGGAAATAGAGTGATCCAGACTTCTGGAGACCGCATCTGGTGTTCCTGGACCAACAACTGTATGGGGGCTAGAAGACACCAGTGCTCAGTTGGGTCTCCATACATTGTTTACTGGAGTGGAGGATGATGTGACCTTGGAGTTTTACATTTGGGGAAGCATTCTGAACCTTAAGTAAGGACTCATCCTGAGGTTGGAATGCCTGAGGAAGTGGCATGTAAAACTTATAAAGTGCAGAGAATTTGAGAAAGGTGTGATCTGAATAGGAAGAGATGGGGAGAGAGGAATGGAGGGAGAGGTGGGGGAGAACAAGGGAGCTAGCTTTAAAGCAGGCATTATAGTGAAGTGTCTGTAGGTAACTGTAGAACTGTAGGCTTTTGGATTCTGCTCTGGGGAGCTATTGAAGTGTTTTAAGCAGGAAAGTAAATATAATCAGAATTCTATTTTTTTTTTTT